TACTTACATCTTCAGACTAAACAAAGTCAAAAGACTAGATCCACAATTTAAGTCAAGCCTATTATAATATATTCTAGGGACCTTTCCCAACTATTTTGTTATGCCAGAATCTCGTGACACTAAACACTGCTCGAAATAGCTAATAATTATTAATTGTTGATAATATCAAAATGAGGCACTCACCAGAACTCAGAAACCCTGAGGATTACAAACAGGGTTGGAAAAACTACACTAATGCTTTTAATGCATGAGACACAATACAACACCACTGAGATTTATAACAGCTACAAATCAAAGAAACCTTATCACTTCCGGTTCTTACCTCCCACTCTAGCTATCCTCTTTTCTTCTTACCCTCAAATGATTTCTTCCTTCTAAATTTCAAATGGTCGGGTGCTCACATCTTAAATGCCAACCATGGTGGGCAGTGTTTCAGACCTCCTTCTCTGTTTTCCCCACGAGTGGCTACATCTTACCTCTTTGTGTTTCTCCATCGTGGCATACAGTTTCTGCGAGAGGTCATTGGATACATTGGGCATGCCTGGCTTCTTCTTGTTGCCCCTACTCAGGCTGCTCTTGTTTTTGCTGGTTTTCTTATTATTTTTCTTTTTAGCATTTTTGCTATCTCCCTTTGTCACCTGCAGGTTAGCAAAGGGGACAAAAAAATGTTAACATTTTTGTTAAGTGATTTGAATAATACTAATGGTAAAAGGGTTCTTCTTTTCTTTGAAACTGGAGATTCTAATCTTCTGCCTCTACCAACTCTTTTCACAGACCCCATTTTTTTTTTACCTGTTACTTACAGTAGACTAATGTAAGTTTACTAAGGTTTTTGCACTAATTTTCTTCCAGTGAAGAATCCCTATACTAAAACTCTTCATCTTCAATAAGACAATGGCAGCCTTAGCTTTTTGACTAGAAGAGCCCCAGTTTGGACACCACTCAGATCAATCCATCCTATTCCAGATTTGGGGACAGGGCATATGGAGTGGAAGGGTGGGATACCGAACATTCTAGAATTTTATGGGCCTACCGTAAAAAAAAACAACTTGAGAAGTCAATCAATGGCTTCAAACTACAAGGCTGGGAGGACTTTACAGGCTACTACTTAAAAGTGACTTTAGTTAGGTCAGACTCAACGGAGACCATGGTAGCTATGCTATGGGGAAAAGCTCCTCAGATGATCCCCCTGCTAAGCCAGATTCTGTATGGAGGACTGGCAAACTCTGGCCCAGGTCTGTTTTCGTATGGCTCAGAATGTTCTGTACATTTATAAAGTAGTGTTTAAAAAAAAAAAAAAAAGGTCCCAAATATTCAATCTGGATCTTTATGGAAAACACTTTGGCCAGCCCCCTGCTCTACATAGCTAATTTTCTATCAGTTTTCAGGGTTTCCTTCCTTCTGTTTTCCACTGCCGGAAATCCACCGTCACAGTTAAAAAGGGGGTCTGATGCTAAAAAGGTCAAAAACCACTAAAACAGAACATTAGTAACTTATCTAAGCCAATTATTTCTTGACCAATTTGAAGAGCTCTTTCACACCTTAGAGCTTTAAGACCAAGTCAAAAGCTGAAGCCCGCTCGTGGATTACATGAGAGAATCAAGGCAGAAGCTGGAAAGGAAAACACAAAGCCCTTACATCTGTGCTCTCGTTGCTGGTGTTTTCTTCTCGCTTTCGCTCTTCCTCCTCCTGTTCCAGTTCCTTAATGCTCTCTTCCAGAACATTGGGCCAGAAATCACCCTCAAAGTAAGGCAACTCCTTTGCACTTGTTAATCGATCTTCAGTAGCTTGTTTAAAAATATCCTGTGAAAACACCCCGGAACAAATAGGTATTTGTTTTTCTTTTCTCAATTTTTTTTTAAAAAGCATTTATCATTCAAAGGCAGTCACAGCTCGTGGACACAAGGAACACAAAGGATTAAAACGTCTTCTGAAAGAAAGGCAGCAGAGATTTTATTGATGGCCCAGCCCAGGGAGACATTTAGTCCTAAACAGTGAAAACCCAAGGTCTGAAGTCAGTAGTTCCGGTTCTGTCTTTCCTCTGCCTATGAGGACAGGGAGGTTACCTGCCTTTACAAAGCCGAGTGGGACATCTTCCTGCTAGGACCCATCGCACAGGCAGAGGCCCCATCAATCATGCCGCGGCCTCTCCTACTGCTGCTAACACAATGCAGTGCAATGTGAGGAATGCCTGCCTTGTACCCATCACCCATCCCCTGATGGAGAAATATGTTCAAAACAACCCAAACCACAAATACGGGAAACTGCATGGCTACAGGCTGCTCTGCTGGGAAAACATCCAGTTCTTGCTTTTCTCCCCAGGAGTAAAAACAGATAAGAAACTTATCTGTTCAAGTTCTTATCATGAGACACCCTTTAATCATGAATGGCTATTAAGAATACGTTTTTCATCACATCTTTAAAACAGAGATTTGTTGATCTAAGACTTTTAAAACTGAGTTTTTCTTGCTTTGAAAAAGGAGTAACAAACAGAAGATTTTTGTTAAGATAGTCAAATGGCAGACTACAGAGAAACAGGATCAGTCCTTGCCCCCCACTCCTCCTGACCTTGTAGTCATGGACGATTCGCTCAGACACGGCCTTGTCAAGCATCTTTTTGTACCACTCCTGCAGTCGCTTGGGCTTGGGTATCTTCTGGTCAGGAGGATGGCAATGGAAGATATAGTCGTCTCCCTCACTTGGGGGACAAGCCCAAATATGCCCTGTTGTATATCTAACAACACAGAGAGGTAATATTGAAAAGTTTATCGTCCATTCCGGAAAGAATGCTACAAGGTGGAGTCAGTACAGAAACCAGTGATTTTTTCCTAAGACAATACTACGTGTACAATCCAGCATCAGGCCAGAACCAGGCCTAACCCACAGCACTTAAAGTGGGTCCACATTGTGAAGTTCTTGTGAGAGGCTAACCCTGGATCCCCAAATCCCACATTTGCATTTGAAGACCAAACAAAAGCTACAATGCAAAGGAACATGGATGTGGATCCATTCCAACAAGAGAGCTGAACAGAATGCAAAATGTTAAGAGGAAGAATGTGCAAGGTGAGGTGGTGAATATTCTCAAGCACATGTTTACCTTGAAGGTAAGGAATCAGACTCATTTGTTTATCTCCAGACCTTAGTTAGTTTTTGGTTCTGAAATCCAGGTATCAAAGGATCACCTGCAGTTTCAGGTTCTGGCCCTAAATGAGTAACCACCTTCCAATCAAACTGTACCTAACAGCTCAACTGAACAAAATAAAACTAATCTGGAAGGAGTATGCCTAGGGTCAAAATATCCATTTCTGCCCAATTGGCAACACTTGAGAAAAGGAAGCAAAAAAAAGTCACCTATCTCCATGTTTTAACCTATGTCTCACCACAATACCACGGTGGTAATTAGTTTAAAACCGAATTAGTTTAAGCTAATTGTTTTTTTGTTTTTGTTTTTTTTTTAAAGATTTTATTTTTTTATTTTTTTATTTGAGACAGAGAGAATGAGAGACAGAGAGCATGAGAGGGAGGAGTGTCAGAGGGAGAAGCAGACTCCCTGCCGAGCAGGGAGCCCGATGCGGGACTCGATCCCGGGACTCCAGGATCATGACCTGAGCCGAAGGCAGTCGCTTAACCAACTGAGCCACCCAGGCGCCCCTAAGCTAATTGTTTTTAAAGGTAACATTTATCAATATGCTTACCCTAATTTCTTGACATATTCTAAATATCCAATTAGAATTTCATGATAGACTGCAGTCCTCAAGCATTTAGGACGGAAGAAATGAACACTGTCAAGGTATGATATGTAAACTCTCCTGTATCAAGTGGGGAGAAAGAAACCAAGTCAAGTCACATAAGGAGTTCTTGCTGATATGGCTAAAAACACAATCTCTCTCTTCTGTGCTTTTTTCACCTCATTTACAGTGCACATCACACAATCACAGTTGGATAAATCACAAGACTGTGCACCCTTTAGGGGAGTTTCGTGAGCCTATGGCTCTTATTATAGTCTCTATTACAGTCTCAGTACCCTGTAGTGCCTGAAGCATAGTATATTAGTATTTATGGATCCAAATATATTCTGGCAGCATTCTTATTCTGGCCTTTATACTAATTTTGGAAACAAATTCTAAACCATATCCTAACTTTATTTGTGTGACATTCTTTCACATACTTCTCAGGCAGGGCACTTACACAATCTAGATTTAAGCCCATTTTCTGAAAAATAGTCTGCTTCCCACTTCCAATTTCAGGCTGCTGTTCATATCCCCTCCCTTATTACTATGACTGCAGAATAGCAGTATTGAGCAGTGAGAATTTGCATTTCCATTTCCAAACCAAGCACATCAAATAGTTTCTTGCCCATGATGCTTTTTGCCTATGAAACTTCAAACTCCCACTCAAACTGGAAGATAGCTGTGTTAAGTCCTACCTCTGGTTGGGTGGAGGGCAGTCAGAGCCATACTCTTGAACATGCATGCCAAAGAAGCACAAGTCAACACCGTCTATCTCTTCAAAGGCAAAGAGGGCTTTGGTTCGGTATGGAAAGGATTCTGCCATTTCTCCACTATCTACAAACCTACACAATTCAGATTGGAGAGAAAAACCACAACATCTCATTCAGATCAGAATTATCAGCAGTAGCTGTATTAAGCACAAGAGAAGAAAAGGGAAAATTACTGGATACCTTGCTTTCATGCCTGGTTTCACTTCCACAGTTTTGTCAGAAGCATGAACTACCCGAACAGTGACCTCTCCTGACTCAGGGTGATTCTGTCGCCTAAGAAAGTCATTCACACGATTCTCCAGAAAGGTACCAAGCCTGGTGGATGGCAACCCTAGAAACAAAGAAGTGAGAAGTTTGGCAATAACCAAGGCGCAGATTTATTATTGTTAAAAGTCTGACACTTCAGTATCAAATATAATTTCTGCTTTTTCCGTACAAATAGGATAACTTGATTTTGTTAAAGCAATGTGGTCAATACTTGAAAACAATCTTTTAAAAAAAAAACATGGACTACTTCATGAACTTGTGTGCCATCCTTGCCTAGGGGCTATGCAAATCTCTGTATCATTCCAATTTCAGTCTATGTGCAGTTGAAGCAGACATGATAGTCAATTTAAAGGGTCTTCCACCCAGCTTTTTTTTTTTATTTATTAGAAAGAAAGCATGAGCGGGGGGTGGGGAGAGGGAGACGCAGACTCCCCACTGAGCAGGAAGCCCTATGCAGGATTTGATCCTGGGACCCTGGGATCATGACCTGAGCCAAAGGCAGCTGCTTAACCGACTGAGCCACCCAGGCACCCCTCCACCCAACTTTTTATTTGGAAAATTTTCCAATTTCAGAAGTTAAAAAATAGAACATCCACATGCACTTTGCCTCAACTACAGTAATATTTAAAAAAATGACAATGGGTGCTCGCTTCAGCAGCACATACACTAAAAAAATGACAATGGTTGGGTATTATGAGACACCTTACAAGAAAAAAAGCAATCTGTAGGTCAATAAAAAACTGCAAAGGCATCCACAAAATTAAACCAAATACCAAATAATGTGATAATCTCAACTGTATGGTACAATCTTTGACTACAATTCCCCCCAACCCCCAAGGCAAGATAGGTCTGAAAGAAGCCTTGCTAATGGTATGGACCAAACTGAGATAATCACACATGGGACGGCAATTCTGGATAGTATTTCTACATGTGGCCCCCAAAATGAAGAATTATAGGAAAAAAAAAAACCACATATCTTGCACATTTCAAATCCTGATCCTTTAAGTAATCTCTACACCCAACAAGGGGCTTGAACTCACAACCCAGAGATCAAGAGTCACAGGCTCTTCAGACTGAACCAGCCACCTAGCCCCTTGGATGGGTTTATTTTAACTATGCTTCACTGAAGTATGGCCAGGATTTACTTGTAAGAATAAAACTTACTTTTAGCAGAAAACTTATTTTCTTTCCTGGTTCGTGCAGATTTCTTTAAGCAGCCATCACAGACAAATCTAAAATGTAAACCAAGACTTTGCTTACACAGCTTACATAAACATTTAAAGTTAACAATATTCTAGTAACACAATCTACCATATGTATGTACCAAGTTAAAATTCAAAAGACAACCTGGGAGAAATATTTCTAAATATATAACGACTTAAAATAAACAATATACAAAAAGCGTCTGGAAATCATTAAAGGAAAAAAAAAAAAAAAAGCCTAACTGAAAAACAGTCAAAAAACCATGAGGAAATGTGAAGGGCATATAAACTGGTTGACATGTGAAAAGATGATGGACTAGAGATTAAAACAGGAATTTCAGTTTTTGGCCAAAGTCTATATTCCTACTGGTAGGAATATAAATCAGTATGCTTTGAGTAGTACCAATAGATTTAAAAGGTACATTCTCTTTGTCCCAATTACATAAGGATGTGTGTTTGTAAGTAGAATTTCTTACAAAAACTTGAGACCACATTAAGTATTAAGTGACTGATTTCAAGTTGCAAGAATCACTGCAAGTCTTTTAACTGTTCTTCTTACCCAACTCTTTAATTAAGGAGAGCACTAAAAAGGCATATCTAAAGATCAGCCATATATACATCAAAGGAGTATGATTTTTCCCTGCATGTTAGTTTCTAGAAATGTGTTAATTAGCTACCTCTTTCCCGTGACCCCCAAACCAGTATCAACAATCAAAGTAAAGAGCAGAGGACAGTGCAGAGATCCTATCTTTTTTAAGTTTGTATTTATTTATTCATTTAAGTAATCTCTACCCACAACGTGGGGCTCGAACTCATGACCCTGAGATCAAGAGTCACATGCTCTTCCAACTGATCAGCCAGGCATCCTGAGATACCATCTTAATGAATCACTTCATTCACAGACACCCCCAACCTTGGAACAGAACTGGGATCAATTCCATTCTTGGAGAGTGAAAGGAGACCCATAGTAGTAGACAAGTGTCAAAATGGACAAAAATCCACTTACTGTTGTCAAAGTCTTTGATGATGTGCAACTTATGTAAATATGTGGAGAATATTCAGAAAAAGAACACGGGGCCCAAGAACAGCTTGCTTACTGAAGTCTGTTTGTAGTCATTTCTATGAAACTCTTTCACTGGACAATAGACATGTAACTTACTGTCCAGCCCCTCAAAACATCAAATCCTAACCCATTTCACCATTTAGTAAACCATTCACAGCATGACATTTTCTCAGAGGTAAGAACAGAGCTGCCCCATGGACACCCTCTGTATCTTCTAATTTTCCTACTGTAGCCAAGTATAAGTAGCACTCAAAATCTGGCAAATTTAATTCCTTCTAACAACTCCTTGCTAGTTTCCAGGTGCTAGAGATTTCTTATCTCTACTGATAAACCTTTCAAAAAATATATATATTTTTAAAGATTTTATGTATTTATTTGACAGACACAGCGTGAGAGGGAACTCAAGCAGGGGGAGTGGGAGAGGGAGAGGAAGCAGCAGGCTTCCTGCTGAGCAGGGAGCCCGATGAGGGGGCTCAATTCCAGGACCCTAGGATCATGACCTGAGCCGAAGGCAGATGTTTAACTGACTGAGCCACCCAGGCGCCCCCCAAAATATTTACTTTTGATGTGTAATGATTACAAAATAATTTTATTTATTTATTTATTTTTATAAGATTTTACTTATTTATTTGACAGAGAGAGAGAGACAGCAAGAGAGGGAACACAAGCAGGGGGAGTGGGAGAGGGAGAAGGAGGCTTCCCACTGAGCAGGGAAGCGTGATGCAGGGCTTGATCCCAGTACCCTGGGATCATGACCTGAGCCAAAGGCAGATGCTTAACTACTGAGGCACCCAGGTGCCCCAACAAAATAATTTTAAAAACCAGCAGAATAAAATATTTGTATATGGATTAAAACAAGGCATGCAAATTAACAGAAAGACCTGTATTTTTGGATTCTAGCTTAATGTTTTAAAAGTGAATTTTAGAATTTTTAAAAAAGATTTTATTTGACACACAGAGAGAGAAAGAAAGTGAGCGCATATAAGCAGGGGGGGTGGCAGAGGGAGGAGGAGCAGACCCCCAATAAGAAGGGAGCCTGACATGGGGCTCGATCCCAGGACCCCAGGATCATGACCTGAGCCGAAGACAGATGCTTAACAGACTGAGCCACCCAGGTGCCCCGAAAAGTGAATTTTAGTTCTCTCTCTCAATTCAAAACTAATTTTAGAGACAGTAACTTTGAAAATATGATACAATCATTGCAAAGACAAAAACTTGCTATAATTCACAAAGAAAAAGTCTAGAAAAAATAGTAATGTCTCACCCAGATGGCCAGATGATTTCATGATGAAGGACACAGATCTGATGCATCTTTCTTCCACACTCTGTACATTCAACAAACCTGGAATGAAAAGCCAAAAAGTCAAGATTAGAACCAAAACTTTAACCAAATCAAAACTTTCCAACATTTCCCCTGATTCCGGACAATTTAAGACAGCCAAGATCACATCCAAAGAATTGAATTGTTTTTAAAAAGCTCTTCAGTATTACAGGCAGAGGAAAATTCAAAAGCAATTAAGTCACTGAATGTTACAATTTTATTTTTATTTGAGAGTGCACGACACAGAACTTAAGCAGACTCCCTGCTGAGTGTGGAGCCCAATCACATGACCCCAAGATGATGACCTGAGCTGAAACCAAGAGTCAGACGCTTAACCAACTGCATCGCCCAGGCACATCAAAAATTTTATTTTTAAAAGATTTTAAGTAATTTCTACACCTAACATGGGGCTCAAACTTACAACCCTGAGATCAAGAGTCACATGCTCTACCTACTGAGACAGCCAGGTGCCCCTGGATGTGACAATTTTAAATGTGACTGCGGGTAGGCAGTAAAAAGTGAAAGATCACTTCCAAAGCAGTCTGATGCCATCTGGATGCCTGGGTGGCTCAGTTAAGTGTCTGCCTTCGGCACAGGTCATGATCCCAGGTCCTGGGATCGAGTCCCACATCGGGCTCCTTGCTCATTGGGGAGGCTGCTTCTCCCTCAGCCTGCCACTCCCCTTGCTTGTGCGCGTGCTCTCTCTCTCTCTCTCTGACAAGTAAATAAAATCTGTAACCAAGTCTGATGCCATCCTACCCATTCTAGGAGTGCCCAGAGTACTAGCACGGTTCAGTACTCTCTGAGTGGCCTCACTACAAAGTAGGGGAGTATGAAGATGTTTGAAAATGCACAGGACAGGGTGCCTGGGTGGCTAGGATGGTTAAGCATCTGCCTTCAGCTCAGGTCGTGATCCCAGGGTCTTGGGATTGAGCCCCACGTCTGGCTCCTGGCTCAGCGGGGAGCCTGCTTCTCCCTCTGCTTCTCCCCCTGCTCATGCTCTCTCTCTCTCTATCTCTGTGTCTTGAATGAATAAATAAAAGAAAATGCACAGGACAGGGATGCCTGGGTGGCTCAGTCGGTTAAGCATCTGCCTTTGGCTCAGGTCATGATCCCAGAGTCCTGGGATCAAGTCCCGCACTGGGCTCCTTGCTCAGCGAGGAGCCTGCTTCTCCCTCTGCCTGCCACTCCCCCTGCTTGTGCTTTCTCGCTCTCTAACAAGTAAAATCTTTAAAAAAAAAAAAAAAAGAAAGAAAGAAAGAAAATGCACAGGACAACAGGAACGGAACACATGACACTCAGCAGAAGTAGGCTGGAGCTTCACTTCGGCCCAAACTATTTGGGGGATTTAGTGAAACGTAAATGAATATTAACTGTAATGCAGACTTCCAAATTTCTACCATGCATGTTGCACATATGTTGTGTAGATTTATCCTCAGATCGCACTGGCTATGCAAACAAAGAGAATGAAAGGAAGAGGGAATATCAAAGTATATGGACTATTCAAGCGGAACTACTTACAGTTCAGGATCCAGTGTGTCATTTTTTCTCTTGGAAAATTGTTCTTTATTTATTGTACTAAGGAGAAAAGAGGGACACAATGAGAAAATGCAATATGGAAAGATGAGCAATCTGACTACTATTCTAACCAAAGGAACAAATCTTGTAAAAGTGGATTATTTAAATCTTCTAAGAAGATACTGAAGATACATTAAACAGGTACATTCTGGGCTCCCAAAAAATGTACA